ATATTATTAGTATAGTATGCTCACTGCATCTTAATCTGTATATTATTAGTATAGCATGCTCACTGCATCTTAATCTGTATATTATTAGTATAGCATGCTCACTGCATCTTAATCTGTATATTATAATCCTAAGAACACACTTATTTTGTAGCATTACTTATTTATAGCATTTATTTATATTTATTGCATCCCATTAATCCAGCCATCCAGATTTACTTAATAATTCACTTTTTCTGGCTACATCTGTAAATTTTGCAATTACTGTACATAGCACAGAATTACTGTACATAGCACAGACTGTTGCACTCAATTACTGTACATAGCACAGACTCTTGCACTTTCTGCTTATTTGCACTTCTGGTGAGATGCCAAACCTCATTTCGTTACTCTATACTTGTATATGTGTAATGACAATAAAGTTGAATCTCATCTCATCTCATCTCAAAAACTCTTTTAAAAGTTTGACAGACTCATCCTGAAGTCTTCCTTTACAGATGAATCCTTACGGCACCTAGATGAAGGATTGGCAATCAATATACTTCCATGATATTATCTGCTGTCTTTAGCCAGTGCACACCATGTTTTGAGCTTCCTGTTACCACAGAAACACGGTTTTATATCCACATGTCTGGAATGTGCTATTGACTCGTTCGTTGAGCGCCAAAGGAAATGTGTTTTCCAGATAACATTACAGTTGCAATAAAGCTTGGCTCGGGCTGTGATTGAAACAATACTGAGCCTAAGCCGCACTGAGCCCACCTGTTTGTTCTTCCGTAATTGGATTCTGCTTCATTCCATTTGCCTTAATGCTGATGCATAATGCAGTGTACTGAGGGGACCGGCCATTACCAGCCATGGGACGAGGCTTGGAGAAGTAACCCGACCTCCTCCCCCTCCTCGCGATCTCCCTATCACTCCTCCCCCCCTCGTCTCTGGGACATCTTTTCAGGGCCTCTGTCCTTCAAAGCAGCCACTTGCTCAGGCTGGATGGATTGATGGTTGAGGCTGTGGGCCTGATGGGAACCAGAATAGCAGGTGTTGATGTTACGGCCTAAAAGAACAATAAGCTGGCCCTCAGCAGCATGTTAATCCAAAATAAACAGGAGCTGCTGTGGACGGTTTGGGCCCGGGTGGATGGATTCCCATGAAACACAAAGAACGAAGAGCAGCTACAAAGGAAGGAATGTGGAGCCCAACTTAATCTTTCCTTTGTAGTCCAGAATGTACAGCAACACACCTCGGTTATCTGCAGTATGTCAACACAATGGTAAATGGTCAATGGACAGCACTTACAAATAATTTAGTGTTCAGAACACTCAAAGTGCTCCACACTACTGTCATACTCGCCCTTTAACACATACATTCAGAAACTGCTGGCTTGTGCTGCCCATCAGTGTTGACCTAATCACATTCACATGTGAACACATGTTAACACATTTAGGCACTGCCTTGCCCAAGGACACTTTGAAATGTGGACTGCCAAGAATCAATCCACCAATACACCAATAAGAAGGTTATACAGCTAACCCCTGAGCCACAGTCACCCCATAAAATTAAAATAAGGAGTGGGACTTGAAGCCACAAGGAATTGTGGTAATTGAATATTTTGTGCAAACTGACTACAGAGGGCAAGTTTTTATTTTACCTGTTACTATACTTGCAGGTTGCTATACCCGAGTCTTATGAAATGAACAGAGAATGCATGTATCTGAAAGTAGAGAGGTTTGAAACTATGTGGACATCTGCCCATTGGATGGGAATAGCTTAGCCATACATAGGTCATGTCTGTCATTGTCCATACTGGATTATATGGTAGGTTTTATTTCATGGTTGTTGCAAACTACCCAGGGAAACATAGAAAACATAAATACCGCTCTTAAAGTATTGGTGAAAGTGACTTTGATCCCTAAAAATGGTGGCATCTGTCTGCTTTTGCACCTTCTGTCGTTATGTTGGAAGCTTTTAGTATGATACGTCCCAATCTGCAAACGTCACAACGGCTTCAATAACTATCACCCTGACAGAGACTCACACAGGCCTGTTGCTGTTTTCATCAGGGCCATCCTTCTCTCATGATCAGCTGCCTTTGCTAAGTGGATAGTGTCGATGGCTGTGACTCAGCTCGCCCCCCAAAATGATGAAGATAAGACATCTGGAGACAATGTGTGTACATGCACACTTTGAAAAAAAGGAACACAAAGAAGTGGTGGGGGGAAAAAAAAAGAGAAGTGGAGCAATAAGAAGGGTGACATAAATTGTGTGGGTACTGGTGTGTATATATGACTGAGTGGGTGAGCAGCGGTGGTCAAGGTTCATTAGCGTGTCAGCGGCTGCCTCCACGGCGAAATAATAAGGCTCCTCACTCTCTCTCTGTCTCTCTCTTCCCTCCACTTTTATTCCCCCCTCTGCATCTGCTGAATATGAACTGAGCTGCAGGGAAAAAAAAGAGCTCTTGATCTCATGCCACCTCTCTTGCACGCTGACACATGACTAAGAAACAGATAGCAGCTGATGAAGCGACAACATTAAAATGGCAACAGCGAGGTCGAGAGGGGAGAGGCATAGAGAGGGAGCTTGATGAGCCGTGGAGACGGCTTGCAGAAATGAGAGTGATTGAAAGAGGGTGCAGCCTGCAGTGGGTAAAAAATGGCATCTATATGACTCGTTAAATCGGGAGAGGAGAGTGTGCAGAATGCAAAAGAGGGATACATTTTCATCTTTGACCCTCTTCTTTAGATATTAGTCAATAATGCTCTTAATGAAATCGTTCACAGGCTAGGGAGACAGCTCACTGCTTTTGCTACTGCCTCCCCATGAAATAGATCCGACTGAATGTTGACGACAGTGATGTGTTTACAGACATTTTTGAATGCTCAACATTCTGAAGGATTAAGATGCTCCGATACCATTTTTTCTTACTGATACAGATTCCAATAACTAGACTTGGATACTGGCTCATGACAAGTACCCTGCAAATGACACACCCTGTGTTTTAACCCCATTTGAACCTTAAAGGATGCAGTAATGGATCTTTCCCATACAAAATGAAACATTGTGAACAATCCGCAACAGAAACCTTGCCCATGCTGTGATCACACTAACTGTTTTACCTTCTATGTTTGTGTTGAAGTTAATACAAATCATACTCCAGTGGCTGTAAAAAAAACAACAAAAAAAAACACTTTACAATGGCAGCCACCATTTTCTTAAACTGAGAAGGCGTTTGTGCATCCTGTTGCCATCAGTATAGCATTTTCATGAGAAAGCAATGAACGGAAAATGTTCTGCCACTGAACTTGATAGCGTATTTTGGTGCTGTCTATGTTGCAACAATAACACAGTTCACCATGACAATTCCGCAAATAACACAAATAATATTGGTGACCCAAGCAGGTCCAAATCAAAGCATCACATTTGTGTTAAGGGGTCTCATTTCATTGAAGACCTATCAACACCACAGCCCTAACCCTCCAATACCAATTGGTTTTATTCTGAATGTTGGTGGAAAAACACTGACAGAACATTCTCTGCCAGCACCACTTGTTGTTTTTTCTTATTGATGCACAACAATTCACATGATACCAGCTGATCTTTTGAGGATTATTGGTATGGTTGGCACTCTGGCTGATAGTGGGGTCTGATGCTGATACTGTTATCTGAGATTGATATTTGTAACAGAACAAATGTAATGCAGAAAAGTTAAGAAAGTTTTTAGGTGGACTTTACACTTCCAGAAAATATGCCTCCTTTGTGCTGATGTGTACGCGCACGCACACGCGTTGGTGTGTGTGCTGTAAACATGACTTTCGGCCCGTCAGTTGAGCTTTGATGAATGGATAGGGCTTCGCTGACAGACGAGAAGAGAGGGTGACACAGCTGGGAGAGAGGAAGGGAAGGGAGGGTTAGGTAAAGGTTCACTAGAGAGGAGTTGACAGATCCCAAATGGTAGCCTTTAGAAATGCTTGGCTTCATTGCATCAGCTGTGGAATGATCCACAGAGGACATAAAATGATGCCCGAAAGACAGCGCCACAATATGGTCTCCCTGGAGCGGCTGAAGGGGATACTAGAAACGGAAACTAGTTTAAAGAAAATAGGTTAAATATATCACAATGATGGGAACATTTTGCAATATTCTCCATATATATATATATCGCAGGTCCTGACACTAGAAAACAGCATATATTTTTTAACTACTGTACATTACCCTACCATGATGGATGCTCACAGTACAGAACTGACATGTGTTTGACCCCTATCCAGGAGACAGCACCTGGTGCCTCCCCACAACACCATTAGTGGTCAACCACACACTCGCACACACACACACACACACACAGACACACACACACATGCACGCTCTTGCTGTCCACATGAGATATTTTTAGGAGATGTGATATAACCGCTATGGTAGCTAACGCTCAGAGATTCACACCCCATGGACTTGACAGGAAGGGATCCATTTCCTGACAGCAACCGCAAACCATCCACACATGCAACACACACACACATCCTCGCTGCGTGAACTTAGTGTCCCTCAAAGAGTATCGGGGGTTGTGAGAGAGAAAATTTCATCAAAAAAAAAAAAAACATCCACGTGACGACCAGTTTCCTGAGCTTTACTAAGCTGCAGCCAAATGTAGAATCTGAAATGATACAATTAAACCCTGAGCAAAGCATTCCACTTTCCCTAGAGAGGTTTTCCGCAGCACATCTGTAAATACTTTCTCGCTATAATTTTACAAAAACCATGACTAACCCGACAAAATCCACTTAAGAATCAGCATTAACTTTTCTAAAGTAGTTGTTTTTCCAAAAACTCCTCTGTTTTAGCCATGATCTACGGGGAATTAAGTGTATTCATCATTAAAAACCTCTTTAAACAAGCCTTAATATGAAAGAAAAACATATTTGGAAAACATTTTTCATTGTTTGGTGCCCATGATGTAAATGTTGTAGTATTATATTAACACCATCTTTCCCTTTTGTGATTGTTTTCAGCCTCCACCATCGCTGAGAACGGGAGGAGAACATGCCTGAAGCTCAAAGTTTTCGTCCGACCATCAAGTGAGTGTTTGCATGCAAACACGAGGCTTTAGTAATGGAGCTTATTGAAGTACACAGTTTGATTGAAAATCAAAACAGTTTATGTCTACCTCTCTTCCTCCTCTATTACCTTTGTGCTCGCCGTCCAACATTCCCCCTTTTTAAGTATCACCACCTCCTTAAGGAAAATGTTTTCTGGAAAAACATGATACAATGATGGATGCTCACATCAAATGAAACACTGCATACCTCATCTGACTGTTGCCATGAACTTTGTTGCTTGGGATGTTGAATTTCAGGGCTGAGAAGTGAGGGCGGGGCTTCAAATGTCACTAACCTATTTGGCAGATACCTCTAATGATCTCTCATTCTCCCTATTTTCTGTTATAGACAGCTGTGTGAAAACTATAGGCGTACATGACCGCGTTTTTGATGTAAACGACAAAGTAAATACATTAGAACCAAGAGGTTAGTATGGCTTCCTGCTTTTTTTGATTCTCTTCAGTATGACCTCCATACATCTGTACATGTGTGTCTTCTTCTGTGATTCTTTACCCTGATTCTGTTTGTGTAGAGGCTGATCTGTCCGTCATCCGATTAATTGCATTTTACACTTTACTGCATGTTGATGTGTGTCAGTATATACACTGTATATTTGGTGTATATACTTCAGAATATCATATTCATGAATGTGTCTGCTTAAAGTTCATGTGATGTGTTCAAAAATGTTGCTGATTCTCAGATTTAGAAACTAGTATCACTCTAGTATCTGACTCTATGTTGTGCTCCATATCATTAGCCATGTTTTTTATTTTTTACAAAGTAATCCTGCCCTAATGCATTAAAATCAATGATTTTAAATATATAAATACTTTAAATTAAATAGTATGTGGACGTAAACACATGAAAAATACATCTGCCCAAGTTTAATTTTCTGTTTCACGTCTCACTGAGCCGCTGTTTGGCTCTGCTTGTGCAGCATTGATTGGTTTCTGAGCTGAGAATACACAGAATTGTTATGTCTTCATACATGTGTCTCACCCAGTCACCGGAGTGAAACTCCCCCACAGCATCACCCCCACATGAAGCTGTCTCAATCCCAGCTACAGCTCACCAGATGGACTGTAAAAATAACAGAACATATATATATAATATATATTATATATATATATATATATTTGTTATGGATGTTTTCATTAGAAAAGGAGAAAAGGAGAAATCTTTTATATTATGAAATTAGAGAAATAAGTTCCCTTGGGCGATAGGAGTTTATCATTTACTGCACACAAAAACACATTCACAAGGCCAGATAAGAGACCCAATCCTAAAATGACTTTAGTACCAACTCGCCTCTCCTCTTGCCTGATTTTCTGTCTGCCTATTCTCCTGTCTTCTTATCCTGCCTGCATTTTTCATGGCTGCCACCTCACCTTGCATGTGTCTTTTGGCTCATTCCCTTTATTACGCTCTCCAAAGGAGGGAAATTAAAAAAGCCATCCGTCATCCACTGTTGCCACATCTCCCTAACACACACACACACACACACACACACACACACACACACACACACACACACTTGTATAGTTACATAACTGTCCAGTCCTCTGTTCTGTCTATCCGTCCTTTGCTGTGTTAGGTCAGCTACTTTCTCATGGTGCATTGGGGCACATGGCTGCTCACAGATACTGATGCCACTGCCAGTGATACTAAAGAGTCTCCTCGACGGGGAGTTAAATTAAACATGTGATTTCAAGCATAACGTAGCAACTGAAGTTCATATGGCAACTCAGACTTCACTTTTAAAACTTTAAACTGCGACCCCAGACATATTTTTAAAATGCACTTATGCCTCCACTTTTCTTATCAATGCCACAATGCAGTCTTAATCCTGCTCTGAACGTCTCCATAGAAACATGAACACTCCAGAATGTGTTCACTGCATCGCTGTGTATTTGGTGAGAATTGGTGCCTTAAACTGAAAGTCATGGTTGTTTCTTTTTTTTTTGCTCCTTTAGATGATACCAGCCACGAACCGGCTGAGCCTTCCCGGAGCGACGAAACAAACGCCGCGCCACACCAGCGGAACACAAGTCCACTCCTGGTGTTGTTGCTGGTCTGCCTACCAGCACTCTTCACTTTATAGCGCCTCCCTCTGTCCTGGAGGGCATTTACACCTAGCGTGGCCTGAATCTGCCCGAGGCTGGCTGCAGGGAAGGGGGCGGGATTTGTGGTTGGAGCGTGTTTTTTTCGCTTGATTGGGCATCAGAGCAGGCTTCCCAAGGAACCCTCGATTTATTCCCAGAAATCTATTTAAGTGTTCTTTCTCAGTCTGTGAGTGAAACAAGTTGATGTTGGGAGTGGGAGAGACAGTTCCGCCTCTTTAACCTTCAACTAAGATGCCAAATCCTCCCTTTTTTTTTTTTGACACTTAGTGATTCTTAATTTCCCGTGACATCCCTTTACATTCTGTTTGTGTCATTGCAGCACTGATGTTCACCCACACATGCATTACACACATACACAGCAACATGCACACACATGCTTGCAGAGACAAATACAGTAACCGTCATTAGCGGTAGGGTTTGTATTACAAAGTTCTAGACAGTTAGCAGCATTACAAAGTAGGAAAGTGAAGACTTTAGAAGTTAGATAAGACTGTACATACACAAGTTAATATTCCCGAGACCTCTCAAGAAGCCTTTCAGAACACATTTTTTTATCAAGTTCTGCTGGGTCATATGGAGCAGGTTTTCTGCGCCTACATTTTGCTCGGAAAGTTTCCGTAAAAAGCTGAAAGCTGAATACGTATTAAGAGAAAAGAAAATGGTTATGAGCAGAGGTCAGAGCACTGAGAAATACAAACATGACATGCACCTTAGCCCCCCCTGAATCTTCAGCCTGTCCTGGTTTTTAGAATGCCGCCCTATTTCTCTTGAATTCTGAAGAGAGTGTTTTGATGCATAAGCTCCTTACATGTTGCGTAAATGAGTTGAGTGCAACCCCCTTATGAAACCCCCCCCCGAGCCCTATTTTTCCTCATCCTCTGCCGTGTCAGCCTGCTCAATAAAACGCCCTGCAAAGCATTTGATTCACTCTGACTCACAAACAGCTAAATTGAAACTTTCTCCGCCGACAACGTTGTGGACTGCTATTATTAAGATGGAGAATCGATAGCTTTGGAAAGTTGATCACACAATTTCACGGCATCTGTCACGGTCGTTTTATGCAATGTTTACCGAGCCGGGCAGCAATCGTTCTCTGTGTTCCATTTGAGAATTTGTCGATATATTAAACACTCCTTTAAGCATTATGCATCCCACAGATTCTTCCCCTGCTAAAGTGACATTTTAAGATTTTCCCTTTTAAATTGGACGCTGCCTTCTCTCATTAAGTTATTTTTCTTTGCTAATGGTGTCTCCAAACATTGTCCTTCACATTGCAGACACTGAAAACTTTGTATTTTTATATCTCTGAAACTCCTCAGAAACAGAGGTCATGTTTAGAAAAAGACATAGTGCCAACCTTTTTCTTGCTTTTTCATCACTTAAACCCATCCACAGCTTTGGCTCGTGCTCATTAAACATTAGTTAGCTGTTTTCCACATGCAGTTTATTGCTTAGTGAGTTAGTGCAGTGTTTACAGCGCTGACGCATCGCTCTCGTTAGTTTTAAAACACATACTGTTAAAATAGACACTCTGTATTTACTCTTTATAAAGCAATGCACAGCTCTACTTAGTCAGGCTAGTTTTATGTTAGCACTTACATGCAAATGAATTCACTGTGTTATAATGATATTCAGCTCCCACAGACTCACATGGTGAGTTAGCGTAATGAAACCTCTTGTGTCTTCTTCCAAAACGGAAGGGACTTGTTTTGTTTCTTTCAAAGACACACGGACAGATAGAGATATTATCTCTACGCTGACGTCCTTTCAGAAACCGTGTTTTGGACGAGAAATCGGGACCCAATTGCTTTAGGGAGACAGACAGATAGGAAGAATAAAGACGAGCACAGGAGCAATCGCATGTCCACCTTCAGCTCCTAGTGTTACTGGTTTAAGTGACTCTTTAATGAGGTTCAAAATGACAGGCATGCGGACCCCCATGTTGTGGCAAGGGGAGTTATTTCTGGTATTAAAAATAGATGGTAGAAGGCTTGGGGGGTCTCGGGAGGAGGGAGGGGGGGGGTGTCGATTTCAACCATTGGGGGGGGGGTTTAAAGCACCAATGACCTTGCAGTTTGAGAGAATCGGTGAGTGAAGGGGACGGAGAGAATTAAAGGCAGAGACGCACACACTCGGCGGCAGATAGAAAAGACACGGGTGGTAGCCGAAGGTAGACAAGAGTGCCTAACAAAACAAAACAACAGAAAAAAAAACACACACTTTCTGGAAAACAACACCTCACCCTCCTGCGATAAACCCATTGTTCAGTGTCATTCTGTCTCCAAAGGCGTGCACTGTTTTATTTTTGCTGTTGTCATTTTTGTGGCTGCCTTTCTTTTTCTTATAGTTTCTTTTCTCCCCCCCCTTCCTCCTCCAGAAAGACTGTCTTTGCCTTTTGCAATTTTTTTTTTTTTTTAATTTAGCCCGACAGAAACAATGCTATTACAGCCGGATAGCAGCTCAGCTATGGGCGGGGGGGGTAATAGGAGACGAGAGCATTTAATGAGGTACTAATTTTCAGGAGAACACCACAGGGAGTGAGCACCGCCTGACATTCAAAACGGACGCTTGTCAGCAGATTAACACTCGACTTTTATCTGGAACCAGCTTCACTTGTACTCTCTTATAATACTACTATTTGCCATTATCGCTATTATTACCATGGTTTATTCTGTACACACCTTAACTTGGGAAATGAGGATCATCTTATGAACTGGATACTGTGTATCCTGAGGTAGTCAATCACAAAACATGTAGTGTTAGGGTTAGTATCTGTTTTGTACCTTTCTGGAGGACAAAAGAAAAAAATGAGATACATCATTGTTAAAACTGTATAATTATTATTACTGTTATGATGATGATGATGATGATTATGACTATTATTATTAGGAGAACTTCTTGATGTAAATAGTGTTTGATATTAAAGTATTAATTTGGTTCTTATGTCTTTTCTAAAAAAAAAAAAAACGAACACGGTATTATCTCTGGGTTTTGCGGAGTGTGTACTGTCCTCAAACAATGCATTGTGTGCTTTGACCCTCAATGCCTAATGACACTTTGAGCTAATACGGAGGGGGAGCTGTACAACCATTGTACAGAAGACTGGACGTTAGCCAAACGAGTGGCTCATCTGTTACATGTTTCCAACCCGTCACCACCCGTCACCATATCTCCACAGAAAGATCCTGCCTTGGAAAAGAAAACACTCGATGAGACTTAACAGACGGCTTCTTTGTACTTTTTTGCCTTCAGTGTTTGAAAGCATGTTGGTCAGCTCAAAGATGTGCCACCTGTGGACTGTTTGCTTTTTTTTTTTTTTTTAAATGGAAGGATCTCGCCCGACTTCATTATGTGGCATGCGCATGAACTTGATGACATGTTAAAAAAAAAAAAAAAAAAAAAAAAAGTTTCAAAAAGAAAGTTTTCCTTTTGCTCTTATTTTCTCGTTCCTTTTAAGAAGTGTTAGATTTTCACTTTCATGTTGTGTGTTTTTTGCATCCCCCATTTGAGTGATGTCATAAAAGCTGTGTAGTGACAGAAGATGATGTACATAACACAAACCATTGTTGTGAAGTTACAGTAGAGGGTCAGACATTTTGTAGATCAGAAGCAATTTTTTTTTTCTCTTCCTAAGAACGCCTCTTTCTGTACACACCCACTGAATTCATCTCATGTAGTCCCAGTTTGTCTCTTCTGACTGTTCATATTCTTCCTGCTCTTTCAATAGAGAGGAGGTGTATACATCAGTGTGTGGACGTTTTTTTTTTTTCAGCGTGTAAAAATGTGTGAGACATTTCAAGTCTGAGTGTGTGCGTGTCTCATTTGCCGTTGCCGCAGTGAATGGGAAGCGGCAACCCTCTTTGGCAACGAAGAGTGTTTCCCATGCCTTAGCCCTTCAGCCTCTGCCCCGGCAGCCACGTCTGTGTTCAAGACGCTCCCTGCCATTGTGCTTTTACACGGAAAGGCTGCTGGCGTCGAAGAGACTACAACAGGGGCCCTACACTTTCTCTCCCTTTTTAACTACCCTGAATCACTCGTCCCTGTGGTAGATGCGGGTCCTGGGCACAGTTCAGGGATTAGTGCAACCCCCTGCTCTAAATCCTGAACTGGATTGTTAGCCGGGCAAAGCCTGCCATCGATCCAGGTTCTCAAAGCCTCTCTTCTTCGTCAGCTCCCTCCTCTCGCTGATGAGCCACTTGTTCATTTTGTGCACCTGTCCTGTCCCATTCTTCTTGTGCTTGTATAACCTCCACCACTCCACCCGCTGTCCTTCTTCCCCGAACCTTTGAAACCCCGCTCCCACTTTGCCATCGGTGGGCAATCTTTCCAACTTGCTCTTTTACAATATATAAACAACGACAAAAAATTTGACAAAAAAGTATCTGTATTTGTATATACACGTGTCTGAGCAACTATGAGTAATACAATAAAACGGAAATACATTGCTTTATTCATTGTGTTGTTCATTCTCTATTCTCTGACCCATTTAGAAGGAATGTTATTCCAATACTGAAACCAGTAACAGCAACAAAACAGCTTCATAGATATCAGACAAGTTGAGAGACATCATCCATGATATGGGTATTCTTTTTAATTAATTTTCTTATTTTTAGATTTTTATTTTTGTGCTTTTTGTGCCTTTATTGTAGAGATAGGATAGTGAATAGATATGGAGATCAGACTGAGAGAGTCTAATCAGCCATCGGCATCCCAATGCTATCGATATTACATGGATTCTTAATGTTGTTAAAAATTGCTGTGGTCAAGTGGTTAAATGCTAGTTTTTCCTTTTTTTTTATTGAATTCGAAATACTGAATTAGTCTAAATATGAAAGGCATAATACTAAACTATTAGAGAAGATGTCCAGTAGATGTTGCACTTAGGCGCCGGCCTCTCAAACTTAAATTAAGCTGTCTCTTCAGCACACCACTCCCCCCCCCCACCTCTTAGTGTTCAGACCAAGTGCAGCCATTGATAAGACTTTCTTTGAAGCATTTTATACCAGAAAAAAGTCTGATCTTAGGTTTGGAAAGTCGGTTGACTCTCCTTGCATTGTACTCTAATGGGCAAGGTGGTTTCTCTTCCCCCACTTGATGATGGGTTGGACAGGGGGGGGGTTCACTTGGATGAAACATGTTTTAACCTCTGGGACAAATATAATTATTACAATTCAAATGGCTTATTGACAAGCATTCCAGTAAATGCACTGTTCTGATTACACACCCAGTTCTTCCCCAAGCAAACCGGAGGTTTCAGCTCAGCAACATTCTTATGACAACAACAAACAACAATGCAGCGCTAATAGAGAGTGTAAATGAGTCACAGCTCGGAAAATATGAGCATTGTCTTTCCACCAATGTCATGTATAACTTTGATCTAACTCGTATCAGAGGGATAGTAGGAATTTTCCATTAGTAATTCCTAGGTATCAGAATCCTTAACGGTAGAAAGAGAAAGTATCAGAACGTTTCTACCTTGAAGTAAAAGGTATTTGTTTTATAATCAGAAGCACACTGTTATATTTGTCAAAGCATTAAGAATGTTTACAGCACTTAACATACATCAAATGAACATAGTCCTCTCACTTAGCTTAAATCATATCTGATCTTGTGCCAAATTAGATTCGATCAACATGCACACTCACAGTCACACACACACACACACACTCTCTTTCTCTCTCTCACACACACACACGCACACACTCTACTCTTTATGTCTTTCCTATCTGTCTACGCTGTCGACTCTCACCCTTTGAAGACAGACCCGGAGGAACGCCATCCATCAGGATCAGAATAAGACCTTAAACCTCCTTTCACTTCAGTCGGGCACTAATGAGGACACCTAATAACCTTCTGCTGGACCCCATCAGCGCCATTTAGCTTCACCCTCCATTATCTCTGGTAATTAGACTGAGTGCCAGCAAGCCCTGAGGACCAAAGGGGGGGTGAGAGGCCTCCTGATAAGCCAATCGGAGCAATGTTATGAGGATCAGTGAAATTTGACTACGCAGAATAAAACCACTGCTCTATGTTTGGGACTTATGTATAAATAGCTGGATTGGAAAGAAAATTGAATACATACAATAAAGAGAGCTTTTGGATTTTGGAGGGAAGCTGTGCTGTGAATATTTCTTCTGTATTAAAGCCTTTTTTTTTTCCATCTAGCTCACAGTGAAGCTTCGTAGGCTGGAATAAAAACATGCTTGATGCCAAAGACACAAAATCTCTTCCAGGATGCAATCCTCTCCAATCCCATCAAAATTGGTACTTTTTCAAGCATCAGAAGAAGAAATGCTTTATGCATGAACACACTCAACGTGATGAGCCAATTAGCGTCAAGTTGTTCTACCAAAGGAAGGCTCACGGAGGTGCAGGTGTGTGTGCGTATCTACAGTATGAAGACCAATAAAGACAAATCACTGCACATGATCATTAGATCTGAGGTAATGATAGCTTCATGTCAAGATGTGTCCCAGATGTGCTATTAAGATACGAACAAAGTCAGGGTCTGTGACCAGCAGTGAAAAGGAGAAGGATCACGTCACCCTTGAGAAGGCGACATGAATGTGCACAGATTCACACATTCACACATTCAGTCGATTCCATGACCCGTTCTGCCCATATGGACACAAGCTTCACTCTATAACAACTGACAGTCCTGAAGAGGCCACTTTACTGAGGGGCTCTTGAAGGCATCATTCTCAAGTCAGCTGGCTCCCTTATTGGCTGCATGGTGTTCTGTTTCCATGTGAACAATCAGTTTGATTGACAGCTCCGAATGATGTCTTCAGTTAATCGCTCCAGTGGTTTGAAAAGGTCATAAACCACCCAATTATGTTGCCCCGCTTTATGCATAGATTTTTTTTTTTGGGGGGGGGTAATATTTAAAACGCCTCCGAGGCATATCAACTTAGTCAACCCCATATTTATTGAGAAGGAGTTTTTTTTTCGGGGGGGGGGGGGGGGGGCTGCTTGTGCCAGAAATAACTGATAAGCTGAATCCATTTTAGAGTCTCAGTCACACTCTGGAATGTCACAGCGGCGCAATTGGAAAGTTAGGAATTGGATTCAAGGTCAGGATTTGTGCTTTACGACAGATTTGACGTGGTTTCAAGAACACGTTTCAAAATGATGAATTGGAATAATGAGAGAGGAAGTTGAGGCAAATTGAACAAAGCCATCAGCACATTGTTTACAGCCAATTTATCAGGAAAGCACAAAACATTCGTTTGAAACACTTGTCTCTGTCGAAGCCGGAACAACAGATCTTTCTCTGAGCTGTGATTGATGAATGTCCTTCAAAATAAAATGCCTCTTTTTTTCTTTTGTCACGCTTACAGTCAGTACCTCTAAGTGAAAAACAGAAACTCTAAGATCCTTTTTGTTTCCAACTAAATAAATCAGCCACATTTCAATGTCTCAGCCTCTAAATCCTACAAAGAAATGTCCTTTCATGCTTTGGTTTCAAAGATGTAACGCAAACATTCTGCAGTAGGTTATAAGACATTTTATCTGGATGACTGTTGGATGAATCAATTATCTCTCTCGCTCTCTGTCCTTGTTCCATAAATCCCAGCTAGTTTACCTTCAGCTCAGGTGGAGGTTACTGCGACGTGCAGTTTCACACAGGTCATTTTCTTTTACCGATGCCTTTCACATGCTGACCTTCAGTGCTGAGAGATGAGGGGCTGCAGCCAATCCAGAGGAGGATTATGGGAAGATGTGACGCCACTACAAACTATCAACTTCAGGGGAAATGTGACAGAGATTGAAAGAGATGGCGGCGGTGAGGATACAGAGGATCAAATGTTTATGATTCTTATGCACAATGCATGTTTGTCTGACATAGTAGTCATAATTTTTTTAAGTTCCAAGAAAAAGGGAAAAAAAAACAGGTTTTTATATCGCAGCAGAATGCAAAGTACAGTGGGACGGATTGTTTTCAGTGTTGGACAGACAGTCGGATGCTATGCAGAGCTCTGAAAGCAGCAGGTTTTCACACAGTGTTTCACACCACGTCTGATGTGTTACATTAACTATTCACACATGCGGAAATGAAGATTTCCTCGTTCAAAGTGACAGCTGAATTCACAGGAAGAGGTGAAAAAATGAAAGCGACCTAACAGTATCACTATGACACCTACAGAACACGGGTTTGAAAAAGTGGGTAACTACACACAAATCTGGATACAATACAAGACATTAGCTTAACAAGGTTCAAATAGCTCCATTTAAATTTACATGGTGAATTATCAACTGTTAGTATCCGTGCAATGACTCTTGTCTCACCCTGGAGTTTCTTTCTGCTACAACAATCTGCTCAATGTACATTTTCCAATTTGATACATGGCTACCTAATAAAGAAACAATGCAACTGAGTAATAATTTTCATGAATTAAGCGTACAAAATGTTGAATTTCGTTGCAATGTTTACATTAAAATATCTAAATTAATAAACAATGGACTAACCCCACTTTGTTGAGTACTTACATTATTTCCAACAGTTATCAAAGACAGAGAAGCTGGGATTTGAACCGCAGCAGAATTTTTAAGAAACAGAATTTAATTATTGCCATGTGGAAACCAGATACCACAATCAGAATGGTATCCTCTATTTCTATTTGCTTCATCTCTCACAGAATGGATGAGTAATATTTTTGGGCTTCTGAAGTGGAAATTGAGCGTTTACCAGCTGTGCCAGAGGGGAAAAGGAGCCTTGGTCATCTCTTTAGAAAGCTCGTTTCCCTCTGAGTAAGTGTACCATCAAATAGAGAGTATTTCCTGCCAGTGCCCATTGAACGAACGAGGCTAAAGCGATGACAGGGATATTACACCATCACGCCAACACTACATCATAGAAAAGTCTTAGCCTCAGGGTCATAAATTTGATTCTAATGATTTTGTCATATTGTTCAAACAATAACTTTCAAACCCAGTCTCCTTTTTCCGCCGCCTTTGATTTATGCTTTTAATTTTTTGATGGCAAGAAATAGTCCCGCACTCGCGCCATTATGATGTTGATGGGATGAAATATCGTCACAATTCATTTTCTTTTTCAGGTTTAATTAGTTTACTTTAAAAAGCCATCTTTCATAACCGCTGGGGATGAAATGTAGGGGGGTGGGGGTGGGGGGGGGACTTGGCGAGAGGACTGTGTTTTTACAGTTCACTTCCTGGGAAATAAACGCCTGTTGCATTATTCATGAAGCTCGCCATAACTTTAATCTGATTCTTAATTCCTTCTCCAGCTATATTTCATGGCACTCATTCAAAATTTCTTTAAAGCTGCCATTTCTGTAAACGTGTCCTCAGGTGGATTATCACTCCTGGTCTTGATAGCATAATAGTGTATTCCAAATGAAAGCGAAGTACGTCTGAGAACAGATGAGCGGAGCTCTTAGTGTTCCAGCTTTTCATTAATCCAGGTGTAAATACTGAAGGTTCAGTCTG